CTCGAAGTGTGTACAAATAAGTTTGACAATTGGATCGTTGAAAAAAGTTTCGTAGAATGCATATCATGTCAAAACAGTAGATTAAACAAACACTTAGAGTTAGTATTATACTTCCATTAAGTATAAAATAAGATTTTGTGGTATCCACTAGTGTAAATATTTTAAATTGAAGATCGAATTCGTTCATTGCATTCTTATAGGGTTGATGAGTGTAGCTGTAAAAAAATCATCAAAGCCGGAGCTAAAATAACCGTCAAATTGTGATTTTTCGTTTATAACCTTCGAAAACTTTTGTTCTGTTACCTAAACTCTGAACGTTTTTTTTTTTTGCGATTTTTTACGTATGCGATCTTGTAGTATCTACAAACAAGTTTGACGGTTAGATCATTGAAACTAGTTTCGTAGAATCTCCGTTAAATTTGCCTAAATTTTGAAGTGGGAAAAGTAATTTGTGCTAAATTTTTATTTATGTTTTTCAAGTATTTATTAGACAATATTTAGTTTGTGTGATGACATTTTCATTGTACAATTATCTTTTTGTTTCTTTATTGCATATTTTACATGGGTTATTATCTATTAAACCAAACAATTATTTATTTAATTTTTAAAAACGTATTGTATTTAAATACATATTATTTATTTATTTATTAAACCAAACAATTATTATTTTATTTTTTAAAATCGTAACAAAATTTTGGGGTTGGGGGGGGGGAATTTAAAATTTTGGAGGGATTTTTGCCGCCATATTTTTTCTGTCGGTTATAACCAATAGTAATGAAATTTTTTCTTGGTTTATATTTAAAAAATATTTCTGTCGGTTTTAACCGAAAGGAATGAAAATTTTCCAAAATAAAACCCCTCCATCTCTTCCTTGCTCCGATGCCTTCTCCTTTCCCCCTTCCTTCCCCCTTTTCTCCTATCCTCATTTCATTCTCCTTCTCGTCTCTCCTGATTTACTTCCAGTTCAACACTTGCAATTGAGAGCCTTTGGGAAAGGACAAGGTGAAATACTTCCAGTTCAACACTTGCACAAATTTCCGGTGTTTTCTTTTTCAAATATATTTATCTATCTTTCCAATCCTTTTCTTTTACCACCATGGTTTTCAGAGGAAGATCTTGCAGTCTATGCATCTTTATATGAGAAATTTGGATTCTGTTATCCTATCCATCTTACATACCAGTAAGCAACATGTCACATCTCAGGTTCATCTCCGCCGTAGTACGATATTGTCCGCTATGGGCTTACCATTCCCTCACGGTTTTGTTTTTGGGAATCACACAAGAACTTACCAGTGGGTCACCCATCCTGGGAATGCTCTTGCCCGAACTCGCTTAACTTCAGAGTTTCAATGGAATCCAAAGCCAGTGAGTTCCCAAAAGGCCTCGTGTTATAGGAGGTAGGCATGTACATATAAGGCACATTACCCCCTTTCCGTTGGTCGATGTGGAATGCTACAATCCACCCCCCTTAGGGGCCCGACGTCCTCGTTGGCACACTTGCACCATATGAACTACTATTTTACCGTACTTTCGAAGTTCTCGACAGAACGATCGCGTAAATGTAATTTGAATCGAAACCGGAGTTACGATAGGGGTTTTACAGAACTACAAATCTGAAAAGTACTTTTGTAAAGATTACTATTTATTATTTTATATATTTCTCATAATTATTATATTATTATTTTAATATGAGTTGATAGAAAATAAGGGGAAGGAAGGAAGGAGTTGCGGGAGAGAAGAGAGGAATCTGGGGGACGAATCAGATGAGGAAAGAGGAGGGTAGGAGACTAATCAAAAATAAGAGAAGAGAGAGAGGTGTGGAACACCGAATCCCGTCGACTTGTACACCCCACCTAATTCCAACTTGTTTTCTAGCGACTTTCTGTTGCCTTTTTAGTAGGATTTCTAGTGAGTTGAAGCTATCCAACACCACCACCAAACTCATCGATGTCCTCTCTTATTTTCCCATCCAAACCCGACTGGGTTTGACCCTAGTTTTGTGATAGCAACATCGGTGGGTGAGAAGGACACCCGACGGCGATCCGTTGATCTTGCTATCTCTGGTGATAACCACCACACTTATTCAACTTCTCTCAACCTAGGAACAAGGCCCAAACAAGATTAGGGGCTTTGGGGTTCGAATTGAGAACGAATCAAGGGACACCCATTTCTAAGGTTTCTGACGGATCAAGGTAAAATTCAGGTGTTTCCCGACTGAATTGGACCTTGGCTCAGGTATGAAAATTGTTCCCCTTGACTTGTTTTACATGCCTGTAAAATTTGGTAATTTTTAGAAATAGTTGAATTTTCCAAATGATTCGGGGCGGCGGCACGTGGGCCGAGGCACCCCCTAACCTTCCTAGGATAAATTTTGTCACGCCCCAAAAACGGGCACGTAATAGTGCCACGCTCTATTAGTAATGCAATACTATAGTGTTAAATTCCAACACTGTAGCACTACATTCCCAATAGGACGTAAGGCTATTTAAGGGGAAGTAAAATAATTTATTTTTAAACAGTACAGAAGCGGAAATCATTTTGGCAAAATGAAGAATATAAGGCAACAGAATTTGGATAAAATTTTTGCATCAAAGATGAAGTTTACAACTTACAACAAAACCAAAGAGTTTAAAATAAGTAAATATACTAACCAACTCTTAGGCATGATTTGGAGAGTACAAAGTGCTAAGTTTACTTACAAAAGATTCCTTCAAGAAGGAAGGAATCAAGCATATGTACAAACAAAAACCTGTGGAAAGTCAATGAACGATAAAGAAGTTGACAAGAAACAAACAATGCTTGTCCCGACCTTAGTCCAGATCGTCTATTTGTAGGTGCACCGGTCCTGTAATAAAGTAGGGATGAGCATCACAAACGTTCATCGCTTCCCCTCAGTGAATCCACCCCAGCTAGGTTTGAAAATAGTATACAACGCTATATATACTATAGAAAAATGTTTGATGCACAACAAAAGCTTTAGTTTCAAAAATAGATTGTATGCTCACACAATTTCCTTTTTAAAAGAAAATAGGGATCCCTATAAATCGCTACATGCCTGATGACCGGTCTAATGACCAATTACCCCTTTACCTGGACCAACTCCGAACGAATATACTTCTGGTAAGGTGTAGTGAGAGTGTCCTTTAATGCTCTACCCTTAGATATCCAAGTACCTTTCCTAGAAAGGTAGCGGTACTAATCCCTTCGTAGTAGCCCCTCTGGAGGTTTAAGGGATCAAAAACCAAGGCGGTCGCTATGCCCCCTTCACTCTCAAGTCATCAATTGATTGTAGCATAAAACAACATGCATATCATGATATAAAACAAACCATTTTTCCTCATGGTTCTATCACAGCAAAATATATGCAACTTTCACAAGCATTCGTATATTTACATATATGTACATTCATAAAATTCCATAACTAGGGTAAGTAAGGATCCCCCTACCTGGTTTCCAAGCCAAGCAAGCAATATTCCTCACCAATTCCTCGATCCCTAAGCTAAAACGAAGATCCATGTCACTACCGCAATAGCTAAACTCCACGTACTTGAATAAATTCCTTGATCACATCCAAATACTATATATTTCTAGCACACTTATCTTTTCTAATCTCTGTCACTATATATAAATATATATATTATACAAACCAACATACTGTGCATGGAAACTAAATGCAACGAACAGGGCCGGTCCTGTGTTTTTGGGTGCCCAGTGCGAAAGCTCAAAATGTGGCCTTTTTTAATACGGAAACATATAAAAGGTCGTACCCAGTGCACAAGGCTCCCGCTTTATGCAGGATTTGGGAGAGGTTAATACGGAAACATATGTTTAAAAAAAATATTTAACGAGGGCTGGAACCCAATCAAAGCTAGGGGGCTAGGCCCTCACGCCCAAATTATATTACTTGAGAAAATATACAACGGGGGGGACATAATACCTAAACCCCGACAATCAAAAATACAATCATATACAACCATTCCTAGCAAAACTCCTTGAAATTTCAACCTTTAAGAAATTGTCTTCTGGCATTTTTTGAAGCAAAATCATCAATTATATCATCATACTCCAAGTCTTCAATCTCATCCTTTTCAATGCATAAGATTGCTAATCCATTTAGCCTATCTTGAGTCATAGTGGTCCGCAAGTAAGATTTTAATAATTTCAATTTTGAAAAACTTCTTTCTGCAGATGCCACGGTCACAGGTACAGTCAACAGTACACGATAAGCAATCAAGACATTAGGACACATGTCAGTTTCTTTTACAAAGTTTGCTATTTCCATGGATGTCCAAGGGTTATTAGAGAAAAATGCTTCTTCAGGTAACATCATTTGCAACACCTGTAACTCGGAACATAAGTCGGCTCCATCTACATCCATGGTATTTCCATGTTTCAAATGTGCTTCAAGATTCATACAATTTTCTTTTAGTTGTTGATCATCCAATGAAATCAACTTCGGTGCATCAAACAAGAAGCCAAAAATATATTCAAAAGCCTTTAACTGTTCAAACCTGTGTTTCAGTTGAGAAAGAGCAATATCCACTATAACAAGAAAATAATCTATTCTAAATGATTCTTCAGCAGACTGTTGTTCCCTCTCATTACCATCAACTTCATCATGATGTCTTTTTCTAGGTCTATGACGTTTAGTTTGAAAAACAGGGTCAATTTCCGATTCAAGTGAAATTTCTTTAGCATCACGCATGGCAGAAGCAAAACCAGTTTCTCTGTAGTTTTCAAAAAAGGTAACAAGTGCTTCCAAAGCCTTTACAGCAACATCAAGACGCATGTCTTCAGATTGTAATTTTTTGCTCACCATGTTAATCTTCAACAAAATGTCATACCAAATAACCAAACTTAATACAAAATCAAAACTGGAAAGTTCTCCTGATGCTAAACATTCTGCATCCCTACTCAATTGGGGATTCTCAGTAATTTCCACCAACGTAAACAAAGCATTTCTCACTTGGGCTACTTGGGATTTAATTGCTTTAACACTTTCAATGTGACTTTCCCATCGAGTAGTTGACAATGACTTCAAAGTTAAACCATCAATATGTTCAAGCAAAATATTCCAACGCTTTGTAGAGTTGGAAAACACCGTATATATGCATTGACATGCTCCAAAAAAAGATTTTGCTTTAAGACATGAACTTGCCATATCACAAACTATTAAATTAAGACAATGAGAACCACATGGCATGTAAAATGCTCTGGGATTTATGTCTAGCAATCTTTTTTGGACACCTTGGTGTTTCCCTCTCATGTTAGATCCATTATCATAACCTTGTCCCCTCACATTATCAATATCAAGATCAAGAGACTTTAGGACATCTTGCAACTCATTAAAAAGTCCTTGTCCTGATGTATCTTCCACACTTAAAAACTCCATGAAATACTCCCTTATATTTATTGACCTACTTGACAAGTCAACACATCTCAAAATTAAAGTCATTTGTTCCACATGACTTGCATCAGGAGTACAATCAAGAATGACAGAAAAAAATTTGGCTTCTTTTACCTTTTTAATGACAGAAAAATTAAAGTCACTAATTCCATCTTTTGCTAACTCACTTTTTGAGGCAATTGTTTTAAACAATTTACAACAAAAGCAAAAGACTTTATCCAACTCTTTTGAGTACACGAGCCATTTCCTATCATAAATTTCACCCGTTGGTAATTTTCGATCATAGTAGTGTGAGGAAAATTTTCTAGAGAGTTTGTCCTTAGGATAAGTGAGATTAGTTTCTCGAATTGGCCCATTTTCTACAAGCAAGTCTCTCATTTCTGCATTAAGACCATCCCAAACTCTTGGATCATAAATGTTTATATGGAAAATAGGTTCAGGAGATTCAATATTTTCATCTACACCAATATGATCATCATCAACATTTAAATCCACATCACCACCATTTTCATGGTCTTGAGACTCATCACTAACATTTTCTTCTAAATCACTACCATTTTCATGATCATGAGACTCCCCAATAACATTTTGTGGCTCTTCACCAACATTATTTTCTCTCAAATTTTCAACTGACTCATTCTTTGTAGAGAAAAATTTATTAAGAGATCCTCTTAAACTTTCGGCAATTTCGTTATCCTTTGCCTTTTTTTTTCTTTTCATATTACCAGAGAGTTGTTTCCTAAAAGACATGGCTTCAATAATTTGTTTGCAAAAATTACCTACACGTGATATAACAAAATTTTCCTATCAAAATTATCATTCCAACACATTATATATTATAAAAACACTAACACATAGTCAAACATATTATAAAAATTGAACCTAAAATTGGGTTTGAAATGAAATCAAATAATTCAATAATCAATTAGTCAAGAATTCAATTCATCATTCATCAACAACAATAATTCTATACATCAATTATCAATTTATTATATAATTCTATATCACTTGCATTGCAAAATTTTATATTAAATTATAAATTGAGAATTAAAATTTAAAAAATTTACCTCAAAAATAATTTTGTCTCCATGCTTGAGAGTTTGGAGCAACCATTAAAGCTTGTAGCAAAGAAGTTGGACGGCAGAGCAAACCAAAGCACCAATAATTCAAAGAAAGAAAAATAATGGGCAGGGAAGGCAAAGTGAGGGATGTAGGGAACAAAAGAGAGGTGGGTGGGTGGGTGGGGAATCGGGAAAGGTTAGAGTATATTAGGGATTAGGGTTTGATTGGGACCACTGGTCCCTGTTATGTCTTGTTATGTTTTTTTTTTTTTTTTTTTTTTTTTTTTTTTTTTTTTTCGGCTGGGTCTTTCTGGACCCTTTTGTTGCCTTTGGGCTCTTGCCAGCCCCTATTTGGGCTGTGAAATTTTTTTTTTAATACTTAGTTATATGGGTTTTTTTTTATTTTGGTGCCCTCTTCATTTTGGGGCCCTGGACAGTTGCCCCTGTGGCACTGGGCCTGGGCCGGCCCTGGCAACGAACAAGATATAAAGATTTGGAGGAATTGTCTGAATAAAAGTGAAAGGTGGGGTGCTATTTATAGATGTAGAAAGTCGGCAAGTATAGCAGGAGGTGTCCACTATCATTAGATAAAGGTATGAGAGATTGACACATGTTAGGGTAGTAGAATAGGTGTCACTTAAAGAGGATGAATGGTACACACAGAGCAACCTCAAGCTCCAATGTAATGACTATGCAAATAAGATTGGAATGAATGATTGGATGGTGTTATCTCTAACTTGCCAAAGACATCTGTTGCATTTGTGTCCTCCTAATACGAAAGCCACCAAGATAGGATATGTATGCCTATATCAACTACTCTAAATTTCACAACAATGGTAAGGTAAAATATAAATATAGAAATAAGATTAACTTGACAACTATCCAGAATGGGATAAAGAAAACATATGGAACACTTATGGAAAGAATTGACACATGGCTATGTAGTATGTACTAGCCTAATGCAAAAGCGTGAAACTGTAGATATCTATACCACTAGGTTTATATATATATAATTAAAAATATGAGTTCTCACAAATTTGATACCCCAATTCCATATGTGAAGTCCAATGGATGAAATTTCATCGTTTGAACAAAGTTTTGATAGAGACTGCCGCTTGATCATGATATGATTCAAAGATCCGAGCATTGGATCGTCACCAAACTTTAATACATAATAGTACATAATATTTAAGGATATTAGGATTTGATGGATCGGGAATCTGATGTATGGATCTTTCTCGGATGGGTTTTCTAAGTTTGCAAATCTAAACGTCGGCCGCCACTTAATTTTAGTGATTGGCAAAGATCCAACTGTTGTATTGTTTCGAAACTTTAGGATGTTGTTTTGGAAGCTTATTGAAACCCTTGGGAAGTTACGGATCAGAAATCCGAGGAGCGAATCATTCGGATCGAGTTATGTAGGGTTGTGGACCCTACCATCGACATTTGACCGACGGTTGACTTTTGGTCAATGGTTACAAATCATTCTAGAACGTCCTTGGGGATGTGTTTTATGTAAGTTACATGTTCTATCGATAAGAATTTTGAGAGGTGATTTGATATTTGTTCTAGGTGATCGTTCGCGACGCCTTAATGTTCGTGCTAGGAGTTGTAACGCGGACTTCAGGTGAGTGGGTCTTTTCTTTTATATAGTATATAAATATTTGTTGGTTTCCATTTATACATTGAAAGAGAATTTACTACGTATACCTAGCTTAGACTAATGCTTATAAGAATTAGCAAAATAACGAAAAATTACGAGGTGATCATAAATCCTACGGGATGCACAAGTATGCATATGTTTATTGATGCCATGATTATACCTACAACTATGAATGATATTATGTTGATTAGAATTATTGAATCGTTATGGCAGGATTGTATTTAGGTAGTCTGCTCATCATTGCTACACCCTAGTGTTAGTGCTCGTCCAGGGCCAGAGGCAGTTTTTCACGTGTATGTTCACATCCGCATCGCACGCTCACCTTGGATCCAACTTGGTGCTAGTCAAGTCGTACAGGTTGCAATAGGAAACTAAGACATCTTGTCACACAGGTTGCAATAGGCAACTCCGACTTATATGTGACCGTGAATAACGCCAGTCTTCATGTGATTGTAACACTAGAGCGTATATTATGATTACACCTAGTCCTGTCATACAGGTTGCATTTGGCATCTTCGACTTGTGTGCTAGCATAGATTGATGAGCATCAGTTTAGCCATACAGGTTGCATTAGGCGACTCCAACTTGTGTGCTAGCATAGATCAATAAGCACTTGGTTTGATATGTTTGCTTATGTGAAAGTATACGATTACTGACGTCATGCACTTATATATGAACTATTGTGCCGTATTGATATCTTGATATTTTGCAAGCTACGGTGAGTATTTTCATACTATATGTAGTACGTATATCTTGGAAACTATACAAGTTTTAGTGCGAAAGATTATAATGTTTTCAAAGGTTTTTATTATAACTTTATTTTCAGACCCACTCACCCTTGTTTTTCGCCCCTTCAGGTTTTAGTAGCTAAGCTTTCTTATCGACAAGGATTCTTGACAAATATTGGTATTGGAGATTACTTGCAATGGTATAATTTTCACCCTATCTTACTGTATTGTACTTATGCTCTGGCATCACGTGTGAAATATGTTTATTCCCGCTCACAGTGCACTCTTATATTTAAGCACTTTTAGGTTTATATTTATTCACATTTTCCACAACACTATACTTTATGGCTTCGTCACCTTCCAAATGTCGGCCATCACAACTCAATTCAGAGTCCTAGTGGACATTTCGGGTCGGGATGTGTCATTTATAGTATACTATAGGCAAAGAGTGAGATTAAAAAAAATATAAAACATATTAAAAATAAAAGTATCAAGTAATTTTAGAATACCAAACACATTAAAAAAATATAATAATTAATTTACAAATGCAAAAAAATGTGAAAAATATGTAAAGGCTCGTGATCGCATCCTCTATGCTATGAGTATGGGTACATCATCATTTGAATTTTTAAAACCATATAAATTCTCATGAATAGTATTTTTAAGGGAGTTCATAATAAATAAAATTCATAATCATTAATGTACAAGTCTAAAAAATGTGAAAACATATATAAACGTGCAAGGTTCCTCAACCTTGGAACACAACTCCCTTCATTTTACATATGCTTGAACATTTGGTATTTTTTAGTAATGTACTAATGTTTTTCATTACGCTCTTATTTTGGAGTATGTAATACTTGAAAGGTATTTTTTTTTAATTTTTAATTTATGTTTTGTAATAATATTTTTGTGACAGTGTGGTATGCTTATACCAATTTAGTATTATGTTTTTTTATTTTTTGTGGATCAAGTTATGTTTTTCATTTTCATTATTTATTGATTTAAAATATATTTTCTTTAATGGGTAACGAGTCGAGTCATATTACCTGACAATATTAACAGGTCAATTTTGGGTCGGGTCATATTACCCGTTTACTTTAACGGGTGTTACACGACACAACCCGTTAAGATATTGGGATTGACATGAAAACGATACGAACACAGAAAACACGACACGAATGCCAGGTCTATTAGGAGGTGCTCGTTAGGATCCTATAATGTCCATTTAATTTAGTCATCTGTGAGTTTTTACATTTTTTTAAACAATTACATTTTTTGTTTTAGGTTGTATGAAAATGTTCTCTTGTTCAACAAGTGAATAATAAATACATGGTCATTCACATATTTAAGGATAATGCTAGGAATATCAAATTTTTAAACCAAATTTGCAAATTAAATAAAGTGTCACCAATAGGAAATAAGCACGTTAATTAATACTTATGTAACAATCCAATCATCAACAACCACATTATGACACACCCCGACCGAGATCAAGGCATGCTGGCCGTCACGTAGGAGTGACGTAGCCATGTGCACAGTGTGGAAACAATAATGAAAAGAAATATACGAATAATCAAAAACCAAATTACTAGAGTACACTACTCAACAGGAAGTGATAGAAGTTAGTTACAAATGTAAACACTCATAATCAAAGCATAATAAGTCTAGGTGCAGTCTAGTGATAGGAGCATATTTATGCGACTTAATTAGCTTGTTCTTGTGCATTTATGTTGTTATTTCTTAGTCAATTATGTATTTTAAGCTATTTTCGTGTGTTTGTAGGTTCAATAACAAAGTTAGCAACAAAGTGCTATTTGGAGCATTTTGGAGCATTTTTGGGCCAAGATTGGATAGTGCAAGCATGGAGACATGAGGATGGACGTTTTTGAAGATTTGAAGGCTAGAAATCAGCATGTGTGTGTGCAAGTGTGTTGACCTACAACTCCAAACATCCATCCACTACACCCATTACATGCACTCATTACCAAACATCCATCCACTACACCCATTACATCCACTCATTACCAAACACTCACCCACTACATGAAGGAAATTTTGTAAAAAACATGTTCATTTGAGCAACATCTATTTAGCATGCAATTAACAAATTAAAGGCGGAATCATGCTTGTATGCACTAAAAAACAAAACGTTACCCATGAAATTCAAAGCCTAGTAGTTAGGTGAACCAAGACTCAACTCAAAACAAAGTGAGTTGAGAAATTTATACCTTTGTTGATTCCTCTTTGCATAAGCAAAGGATAATCACCCAAGAGATAGGGCCTTCATTCCTTGCTTCT